ATCCGTCATGAATTTAATACTTACAATCAGTTGCTTTCTGAAACTGGGAGGAAAGAACCTGCGTCACTGCTGTCCAAAATGTGTACAAAATGTCTGATTGACCATCCTGGAAGACAAAGAGGACAAGAAACGTTAAAGGTAAACCTCAAATTTATAACAAGGAGAATTCTATTCTTTACTGTGTCCATTCAGCTATCACAAACATATTTACAAACCGTGATTGAAAGAATATGATAATCTTCCTACCAAAGAATTTAATAAAAAAGTTTCCTTTCAATATTATCATGTTTTTATTTGCATGAAGTTCCTTTCTTAATGAGAGAGAATGTTCAAAAATATGACAACACTTTTTGCATTTGAAATGATGTTCAACTTAATCACATCATTATGCCACATGTATATACAACATTTGTATGTGTACACTTCATTTACTGCAGGTAATTAACAAAACTATGAAAAACCGACAATGGAAAACATTTGGTTCTGCCGGCATCATTATTTTACTGTAATTCTTTCTAGGACTGTTAGGGTGCAGCCCTACCCAAAATGCTACAAGCTTACATGATTTCAATAATAATTACTAAGGGCTTCCCAAGTGAGATGTCTCAGCGACTCGGTTTCCAATTTTCCTTTACTTATTATGTATAATAATTAGCTACAGTTTGTCTGCTTTGTTTAAGAGGAAGCAATTAATGATCAGGAAGAAAAATACGGTATTACTTGGCAAGAATTTATCAACACTGTTAACCTGGGAGGTCTGTGGCTAGAAGAACACAAGCAAAAAGAAAACAAATGGCTTAGATTTGAGTGTTGTATTTTGCAAGTTGTGGATACTTCATTAACATTTCTCACATATTGTCTTTATTTAAGGAACCTCTGACTTCCGTTTGGGTAGGGTAGAAAAGGGCATCATAGGTTCTCTGGTTAACATCATGTTCCTCTTTGCCTACCACCTTAAAGGATTCCCTATGAGTATTTTTACATTTAATTTATCTTTACTTTTTTGTTGAGGTGTTGGATCACTGGCTGCCATTCTTTAACAAAATCCTCTAGTGGCTCTCCTCTTAAGAATACACTTATTTCATCAATGATTTAACAAATCAATGATGTAGTTTTCCCATTCTTCTATATCTGGTACCTTTGTGGCATATACTATTCATGCTGCCACTGTCATCCTTATAAATAAAAATATAATGTTCGTTTGTGGGATTAACATAACTCAAAAACCACAGGACAAATGGACACTTCTGAGTCTATTTAGGGACTTCCAAGTTGCCCATTCTTGGTTTGCCCCTGGAGGAAGACCCTCGCAGAGGGGCATCCACTTGGGATTTCCTGGTTTAACTGCCCAGAGGGCTACCTTTGCTGTTGCTGTGGGGACGCCAAGAGAAGTAGTAGTTCTAATGAAGCTTTTCCTTGATTTGAGTCTACTGGGAGGAGGCTGGATAGCCATGTAGTGGATGGCTTTCACAGTGTTCAACTTTATTTCTCTCACATTTAGCAGCAACTTCCCATCACACATGGGGGGGGGGGGGCAATGACAGTTAGATTGTAGAGCAGTGGTTCTCAACCTTTCTAATGCCGTGACCCCTAAATACAGTTCCTCATGTTGTGGTGACCCCCAAACATAAAATTATTTTTGCTGCTACTTTTACTACAGTTATGAACTGTAATGTAACTATCTGATGTGCAGGATGTATTTTTATTGATACAAATTGAACATACTTAAAGCATAGTGATTCATCACAAAAACAATATGCTTGAGGAAGTATGGACAACAGATGATGGGATTTGCAATACCTCCAACTGATTCAGATCTGACTTCCACATACCACTGAGACCCCCACAAATTACAGACCTGGACCAAACTTGGAACAGAGAACCCCCATGACCAACAGAAAATGCAGGAGGGGTTTGGGAGGAATTGACAGTGATTTTGGGGAGATGTAGTTCACCGACATCCGGAGAGCAAACCGAAACAACTATGGACCTGGACCAAACTTGGCAGGAATACTCATACATGCCCAAATTTGAACACTAGTGGAGTCTGGGAAAAATAGACCCTGACATTTGGGAGTTGCAGTTGCTTGGAGTTATAGTTCAGGAAGGAGGAGGAAGAAGAGCCCAGGGGAGAAGGAGGACGGCAGGCAGGAAGAGAACGGCGCAGGCCAGCAGCAGCACTTGCCCTTCTTCTTCCCCTCCAGGGTCTTCCTCCGCCTCTTCTCCATTTGGAGAGGCCAAACGGAGAGGAGGAGGAGGAAGAAGAGGGCAGAGGAGAGGGAGGAAGGCAGGCAGGCTTCCCTGCTGCTGCTGCCCCGCTCTCCTCTTGCTGCTTTTCCAAGCTTCCACCAGAAGTGGGGGCCTGGAAGGGCAGCGCGAGGAGCGCGGGGCAGGGAGGCAGCATGGAGGTCTGCCTGCCTGCCTGCTTCTCCTCCAGGGTTTTCCTCCGCCTCTTCTCCGTTTGGAGAGGCCAAACGGAGAGGAGGAGGAAGAGGGCAGAGGAGAGGAAGGTAGACTTCCCTGCTGCTGCTGTCCTCTCGCTGCTTTTCCAGGCTTCCACCCAAAGTGGAGGCCTGGAAGGGCAGCACGAGGACAGCAGGGCAGGGAGGTAGCACGGAGGTCTGCCTGCCTGCCTGCTTCTCCTCCAGGGTCTTCCTCCGCCTCTTCTCCGTTTGGAGAGGCCAAATGGAGAGGAGAAGGAGGAGGAGGAAGAAGAGGGCAGAGGAGAGGGAGGAGGAGGAAGAATAGGGCAGAGGAGAGGGAGGAAGGCAGGCTTCCCTGCTGCTGCCCCGCTCTCCCCTCGCTGCTTTTCCAGGCTTCCACCAGAAGTGGAGCGCAGGGCAGGGAGGAGCGCGGAGCAGGGAGGCAGCAAGGAGGCCTGCCTGCTTCCCCTCCAGGGTCTTCCTCCTCCTCCATTTGGGGAGGCCAAACAGAGAGGAGGAAGAGGCCAGAGGAGAGGGACGAAGGCAGGCTTCCCTGCCGCTGCTGCCCCGCGCTCCTCTCGCTGCTCTTCCAGGTTTCCACCAGAAGTGGATGCCTCGAGGGGCAGTGAGAAGAGCGCAGGGCAGGGAAGCAGCAGAAAGGCCTTTTCTCCTCTCCATTCTCTTCTGGTGGTTAATCCAAATGGAGGTACAGGCCTTGCTGCGGGGGACGTGGTCTCCTCTTCTTCCTCCTCCTCCTTGCCGCCAGATTCGCCTCCCGCCGGGCCTGGGCCCTCCTGCGTTGCCTCTGGGGCCCCGGTAGCAATTGCAAGGAGGTGGAGGGGGTGGGGCCAAAGAAGGTGTTGTCGCGACCCCTCGGAAATGGCCAATCGACCCCTCTGGGGGTCGCGACCCCCAGGTTGAGAACTGCTGTTGTAGAGTTTATCAACAGATATAGGTTTAAGACATCCTGTGATTATTCTGCATGTTTCGTTCAATGCTATGTTCACCTGTTTTGTATGGGCAGACTTATGCTAAAGAGGACAAGCATATTCAGCAGTTGAGTAAGATAAGGCCAGGACTGATGTTGTTATTAATTTTGGGTCTGTACCCCATGTGATGCCAGTAAGTTTTCGCAGGATGTTATTGCGTGCAGCTACTTTGTGCTTGTGTTCAAGCAGTGTTTCCTATATGCTAGTGTTCGATCTAAGGTGACACTGAGATATTTAGGATGGAAACAATGAATTGACTAAGAACTGCTGTACTGTTTTAAGCTTTTCCTACATGGTAGGGGGTTGAACTAGATGGCCCATGTGGTTTCTTCCAACTGTATGATTCTAATGGGCTCTCCCATTATTATCTGTTGTACAGATGGATTCAAATGAAACTGGAGCACAGTTTTAAACTTTAAAGTTAATAATCTTCCTGCATTTTAAGATCTGATTTGGAGGATTCTACACAATACATTACAAGCTACAGGTTCCAAGGAAACCAGAAACATTGCATTTCCCGTGTGTGTTATATCACATGCATTTGCAGATGCTCAGATCAACAATAGACTCCAAATTTAGCTTATTAAGGCTGCCGAGTCACAGGATTATAAGATTATTCCTGAAGGCAAGATCTGCTGGTAGTGACAGAACTGTGAACCTACTTGTTCACATTAATTTATCTTGAAACTAGTGCTCAAAAGTATAACCCAATGTACTAGCCAATTAATACCAAGGAATCAGTGTTTTCCTCAAAATGAGCCAAACTCTAGCATACCATGCTACGTGTTCTAATAGAAATGCCATTGCAGCTGCACTCGTTTCAAACTCTTCTTTAATTTAAAGACAGAAAGTTAGCCTATTTTTAGACAGAAAATACTTGAAGCAATCACGAGTTTGCTGTCTGTTTATATACACACGCCATTCTGCCTTCTTCAGTTAATATATATTTGAAAATAAAACCTTTATGGTTGATGTTTCTACCTTTTTATATACAGCTGACCTGGAGTTCTCCTCACTAATGGAACAATGGGACAGGGCCAAGTAGATTGACAATGCAGGTGTCTCACTATGGTTTCTTCTTCTTCTTCTTCTTCTTCTTCTTATTATTATTATTATTAGAACACAGCCTTTGTTTTAATCATCTGAACCAAATGGTTTCCAAGACTCATTTTGTTCATCTCTGGGGCACTTGAACACCAAGGAAGAATGAGATGCCATTCGCTTTTCTGCAATACTGTTACCTACCTTCACAGTGGAAAAGAACCAACGCATAGCATTGCAGTGTGAAGAGTTTGTATACATCAGATAAATCAGACGTAGTATCAGTTTCTTTCAATAGCAGCAGGAATGTGGTGGAGTCTCCTTTGGACATTTTTAAGCAGAGGCTGGATGGACATTTGTCAGGAGTGTTTTGATTAGGAGTTCCTGCATAATAAGACGTAGGTCTGTATGGACCTTGTGGTCTCTTCCAGGTCCAAGAAAAATTCAAGGAACAAAACCTCTGTACATGGCATTCAATGACCTTGCAAAGGCATTCGACACAGTGAATTGCATCACTCTCTGGACCATCCTCCAAAAACTTGGATGCCCTAAGAAATTTGTGAACATCCTGCGGCTCCTCCATGATGACATGATGGCAACAGTCTTGGACAGCAATGGCTCCCAAAGTGACCCATTTAAGGTGGAATCAGGTG